AGGATTTATTTAATCTACTATAATTAAAATTATTCATTGTAGAGAAAGGATAATGATAACGGGATTTTCTCATACTTCTTTATGTTTTAACAATTGGAACTCCTAGGTTTGAAACAGGTAATTTATATAAAATTTAATCTTTGTTAGTTATTTTAAACTCATGAGCAGTTTTATTTAATTGATTATTAGTTTTTGGGATAGTGAATGGAATACTAGTTATATTGATGATATCTCTTTTTTTGACTTGTTAACTCTTTGTTCTCCTTGAAGATTTTTACTTAAATTCATAAAAATTGGTTTCAGTCTTTCCTACTTATCTATTAAGAATATCAATAGCAATTGATTCATCCAACTTATGTAAATCTTTAAAGTTTAAGCTTTATCTCATCTATCTCTCTATTCTCCAAGTTTAACCACCTATATTAGTAACATCAACAGAATTTTTTTTCTTTTCCTCATATGTATGTTCTTTCTAAATAAATTATCCAATATTAATTTATTTAGGTTCAGTAAGATATTGAAATTACAAGTCCTATTTAACTGCCATGAATTTTGGTTTTTTATTTTTTTTATCACTTTCTTTGATGATGTAGATTTACTTCAACAATTTTTATGTTTCAGATGTGTTTAAGATTTGACTATCAGTTTAATCTGTTCTTGTTGATAGCTACTTAGAGATGCTTTATTATATACGAGCAGATAATTAATTTATATTTTGCATATTTTTATATGAACTTATGAAGTAATTATCTACAGAACTCTGATTTATTTGATAAATATAATAAATAAATAAAATTAGAGTCTTCAAACTATTATATATATATATATGTTTTTTAAATAAGATAATATTTATTCTTAAGATTGGAATTTCTATTAAATTTTACAATTAAATGTGATCATACCCTAAATTTATAATACAATTTTTATACTTATATAAATATTCGAATAAACATATTATTCTGAAGAATTTATTAAATAAATCACTATTTTATGAGTAGATCAAATAAATTATCTATTAATGAATTATGTTCATGAATTTATTATTTTTCATATTCATTAAAAAATTAGTGTTTTTTAATTCAAGTAATATTCTATTGTATAATTGTCATCTTTAATTCTAATTTCTCTATATATTCTGTTAATCCCCAAATTTAAAATAAATAATAAGGGTATTATAGGTTTTCTTAATTTATTTGAGGATTTTAGCCTTTAAATAATAAAATTATTGATTATTTAAAAACCTTGAACAATTATTAAAATCTCAACTATTAAATTTAATTTGAATAAGAAAATAAAATTGATCAGTCTTCCAAATTCAAAAAGTAATTATTTTTCTAAGAGCAATTCATTTTTTGTTTTATATATTTTAATATAAAAAATGTTATAAATTTTCGTTTTTTCTATTTTGTCATAATTGACATTTGGATTTAATGTGTTAAAGCCTTCCTTTGTGGAAAGAAATAGAGTAGAAATGTCATTCAGTTAAAGAATGAGTTACAATTTTGGAAATAATTTTAATATGTATACAAGTGAAGGAGTTGTAATAAATGATAATTCAATATAATTTGAAAAACCAGGCAGATTAGTTATGAATATTCCTTTGGTTGAAGGAATTGATTATGCTCTTTAATTTAAATTGAACAGTTTGAATGCAAATCATATTGCATGTATTGGAATTGGAAGTTAAGGATTCATTTTATCAGAAGTTTTAGGAATTGAAAAAACAAATCTTAGTCATTTTTAATTAGGATATTGTAGTGATGGAACAAATTCTACATAATATCCTGATATGTATACAGATTTTAATGAATTTGATTATTATTCTGATGAAGAATTTGATGAAATAGATTATTCATTTGGTGAATCATAAATGACTAATGTTTTTGGATAAAAAGAATTCTATATGGTTTTAAGAGAGAGATAATTAATATTTATGGATAATGAAGAGTACAAAATTTAGAATAATTTAGTTCTATTTTAACTATTTTCAATGATTTAGATAGAGCGAGAGCATTTGTTCCAATTATTACTATGCATTATAGAAATGAAATATAAAAGAAATTAATAAAGAAAAGAGAGTGTGTTGTAAAAGAGGAATATGCAATTTTATTATAATTAGTAGGATAATTAAATCCATTTAAAAGGGAAATGCCTCCAGAAATGAAAGCTTAGAAAGAATAAGAGAAAAAGAAAAAAGAAACTGATTTAGCAAAAATGTTAAAATAAAAATAAGATGAAAATGAAAATGAAGATGAAAATCAATAAGAAGAAGAATAAGAATAAAAGGAGGAAAAAGAAGTAACAGATGAAGATATAAAAAACGAATAACAAGATGCAATTAAAAGAAGTGAAGAAACTAAAAAGATGCATGAAGAAACACAAAATTAAGGTGAAGAATCTAATGATTAAGCAACAATGCCAATTACATAAGGAGAAGAAGAAAATATAAGTGAAGAAAATGCTCTTAATTAATAAGATGATCTATTAGAAGGAGAAGAAGGTTAACAAGTAGATTAATAATAAAATGATGGAGAAAAAGGAGAAAAGGAAGATGAAATAAAATCAGATTAAATTATTGATAAGGGAGATTAATAAAATGAAAATGAATTGACTGATGAATAATAAGCATAAAAAAATGATGGCAATCAATAAGATACTTAATAAGATTAAATATCAATTGATGGAGATTAAAATTAATCAGAAAATTAACAATTAGAAGATTAAGGAGAATTTTAATCCTCAGAATAAAATGAATAATAAATGAAACCTGAAGATGATACTACTGAAAGTATTGCTAGTGTTTTAGATATTTAATCTCATATTATATATGCTACTTAATTTACTAGAGAAATTGTACCATTAAGAAATAGTGTTGTAGTAGAAAATAAATATACTGTTTTTTAAGATAATTAAAGATTAGCAAAACCATTATAAGATTATAAGAGTTGTGGATATTCTTATTTAGATATTCGTCCTTCATAAAATAATTTTTTTGTTTAAATATAGATTGATAATATTGATGATTTATATGATACTTATCCTATAGGTTTTGGAGTATATGCTTATTAAATGCTTGATAGATTAAAAGGATGGAGAAATTTAGATGATTAACTTTGGTGTATTGATAAAGAAAGTGAAGATTTATGGCAATTTGGTGCACTTTATAGATCAGATGGTACATTTATTGATAGTTATATGTTTGGGGAATATTTTAAATATAAAGTAGATAAATAAGCATAAAGATAAACTAAAATTAATATTTATTTTTCAAATAAAAATAGAGTTGCATTTAGTTTTGATGATGATAAAACTATTATGTTAACATGTGTAAATCCAAAATTCAAATATTATGTACCTATATTTGAAACTAAAGCTTATAAAGGTGTTCCTTCTATGACATTATTATAATATATTGATGATATATAAATTCCATTTGAATATTCTGATAGCATAGAAAATATTTAAAATGCTTTTAGTAAAATTTTTAGTCTTATTAATAAATTTATAATTGAAAAAAGAGGTTCATTTAATGAAGATGATGATGATTACACTATATCTGGAATAGATGATACTAAAAGTGCATCTATTAATATGTGGGATATTAAATTATATGATTCTTAATATGAATGGTGGATTAAAATTGATGACTTAAAATAAGATAAATAAGATATTAATATGTGTATTGGAATTAACTAAATGAGTTCTGAAGAGATAATAACAAATCTATTTGATAAATAATACAAAGCATAAGTTGCTTATATTTGTGATAAGAATGATTTTATTCATACATTTTTTTAAGAATGTCCTATAAGTTCAAATCCTATTCTATTTGTTCCAGGAACTGTTTTAAGATTTAGATTAAGTGATTATTTGATGGAAGTTTATGATGGTTATTAATTTGCTTATTTCTCTTTAAGAAAAGCTGGAAAGACTGGAGTAATTCCAAGTGCAATCATTAGATCTGATTCTAAAAATAAAATCACATTCTTAAAAGGTCCAATCAATTTTGGACCTAATCCTTTAGCTGATAGAGTTGATTATGAATAATTAAATAGAGAAAACTTTGCTAGTTATGATATATTTACATTCCCCATTTTAGAAAATGCTAAAAATGGATTATTTAAATCTAATACTAATGAACCTCTATTTAAAAAAAATTAAGTACCAAAACCAGGAAAAAGAGAACCTCCTTTAGGTAGAAACTATGATACAGAATAAGAAGATTAAAAAATAGAGGAATAAATTTCTAATTAAGAATAAAATTAAGAAGAAGAAAAGAAAAATTAAAATGAAAATGAAGAAAGTCAAAAGTTAACTTCATCTAATGTTCCAACTGAAGCTCATGCAGATATATGTATTATATTATTTTTACTTTAGATGGAGATACTAATGTTAAATGTTTGATTATATATGAGCATTGTGATTTTGAAGGTCCAAGCAAATTATTATATCCAAATAGATTTGAAGCTGGTCCACCCAATGAATTTAGATCTTTTGAACTTTGTCGTGACACAAAACTCATTGAAATTATTATTGAAGGACATGTTCAAGAAAAGATGTTTGTGTCTCAATCAGTAGAATGTCTCCCTAGTCCATTTTTTGTAGATGAAATTATTATTATATGAAATTATAATATTTTATTAATAAATTATTTTTAATATATTATTCATATTATTTAATAACCTATTTATATTGATAGTGTCATTTAATTTTATATATCCTTCTCTTATTTAATATTATGAAAAATTCATAAAAATTCATAAAATTTATAAAGATATTTTCAAAAACTATATTTCTTAAAATATTTATATTGAAATTTTACTTACTATTTGTAATATGTATTAGAAACCCATTATAAATTATACATAAAATTACCAAAACATCCAATAAATTATATTACAACTCTTAATTTAATTTATTTTCCCATAATTAATCAAAGTATTAGATATTTTAATTAATATAATGCATATTTCTATTAGATATAATAAATTTTATTTTAGATGAATAATCATTAAAAATCTAATGTAGAATAATAACTTTATGAGAATCAAAAAGAGTTTGATAATAATAATGCTTTATTAAGGAATAAAGAATCTCCAAACAAAAATTTGAGCTACAAATATTTCCCATAAAACGATTACTCAGAATCAAAATTACAATCCCCTACGACAGAGATAAAATAAACTTAGCTTGAAAATTAACTAAACCTATCATATTTAAAAAACAATGTTAACGAACAATTAAAACAAACTTACACAGAAGATAATAAATAAAATAAAACTCCAAAAAAAAAAACTGATATTGAACCTATAAAATATGAAAGAAAAGGGTATATTCGATAAATAAAATAAGATGAAAATAGAAGATTGAAAGTTTTCAAGCATTTGAAGGATTTATATAATAATACTTCAGGTTTGAGAAATGTAGAAGAATAATATAAAAATTATGTAAGAGAAATAGAGGATAAAGCAGCTTTGGATAAGAATTATAGCTTAAATTTAAAAAATAAAAAAATTGTAGGTGAAGTATGTAATGCTTATATACAAGTAAGAGGAGATGGAAACTGTTTTTATACAGCATTTGGTTTCTAATTCCTTTATCATTTGCTTTTTTCATATTCTGATTAAGAATTTACTGAATTCATTTATAGAATTTAGAATTTAAAAATGAGATTTAGAATTTCATATATCAAATAATAAATAGATGATTAGTCTATTGAAAAAGATTTGTTTGAGGAATTTATATATATATTAGAGGAACTAAGATAAATAGAAACGGAAAATAGATTTATGAAACTCAAAGAAGAATTTGCTAAATGGTAAATTAATTAAAATGGCGATGGTTTCTTATATTGTTTACAGACTTTATTCTTTAGAAATTTGAGTTATCACTTTTTAGAGTAAAGTGATCTCAAAGATGTTGTTTTAGATAAAGAAAATTTATTAATATGGGAAGAAGAGTGTAACACAAATGAAGTAATTATAAAATTATTGGCAGAATAATTAAAAATGTAATAAATTTAATAGTTATAATTAGACATATAAAATTATTATTTCTAGAGAATGAAGTAATATTAAGGGAATATGAACAACATAATAAAAATATAATAATATTACTTATAAAACCTGGACATTATAATATAGGATGGAATTTAAAATAATAATGAATTAATATTTATCATAATTATCTTAATAATTGTCCAAATTTTTGGATATTTTAATTAAATCAAATAAAAATTTAATTAGTCTATATTAATTAAAGTAATTATGTACTTTTTTATAATAAAATAAAAATATCATTCAAATTAAATTCACTTCAAAAAGAATTATTAATCTTCTTATTTAAATATATATTAAATATTAGATATTACATTAATCAAAATATTAATAATTTTTAGATGTATAATACTCATTATGGTACTGTGTAATGTTCAGGGCCAAGTGTAACTTTTTTACCATCCATTGTAAATTCAATATTTTATTATAAATTTGGTAATATCAATAATGTTCTTATAATTGTATCAACTTCTTTTTCATTATATGATTCCTAAAAATATAAAAATAAATTCTTACCAATAATTTTTATTTATTAAAAATAGGAGAATATTTAGTGATCACAATACTAAATTTATGGTTATCTACATCAGTATCCTCTTTACCAATTACATTTAAAAATTAATGTTTTTAATCTGAAGAGTATATTGGTTTCTTAATTTAGTTTTTGATCCATGTAATTCCAGATTAAACTGCATTTGATAATTCAGATTCAGCTTCAAATTAATAAAAGATAAGGATTTTATCTTCTAATTATAATCCAAGCTTCTTTCTTAATTTTTAAATTCTATTTGTGAATTCTCTTGCCAATCCAAGATTTTTGAGTTCTTGAGTCTATGATGGATCTAAAATAATAGAGAATCCTTCTTCAGTTGCAAATAATAATTATTTATGTTTTTCAGTATTAAATTAATCAGTTATTTTAACATGTTTTAATAATAATTCGCAATCCATTTCTACTTCAATATATTCAACATTCTTTTTACCCTTTTTAGCTTTAGGATCTGGTTATTATTAAACTTATTCTTCAACCTTTTTTTCTTTCTTAACTTTTACTTTGAGTTACAATTTACCTTCTGTTTTAAGTGTACGGATTTATTCTTAAGTGAAATTACGAACTTATTAAATTAGATCTGGTCCAAATTTATCTTTCAATTCTTATCCACAAATTTTATTATCAGGTTCAGCCTTTAATTAAATATATTATTCAATATTCTTTTCAACTAAAACAGAAGGAGTGTTGATTTCCTCTTCTATGTATTTAGATAAGAATTAAACACTTTAAAGTAATTATTCATCTGTAGCCAAGATTGTTAAACTATTAACTGGTTATTTTAAACTTAATTTATGAGCTTCTCTTAATTTTCTTGCAGATTCAACAACAATTTACATTTTTTCAACTTAAGATTCAATTTTAGGATCAATCAATTCTTTTCTGACTTCAGGAATTTAAAGAAAATGAATTGATTCTTAATTCATTTTACCTTAAGGAATACATTTCTTAAGATTTTAATAGAAAGATTCTGTAATGAATGGAACATATGGAGACATCAAAAGAGTGATTTTTAATAGAACATCAAATAATACATTTAAACTTACAACCCATTCTTAATGTCCTTAATCTCCCTTAATTCTACTTCTATTCAATCTTACATACCAATTAGTCAATGTATCTAAATAACTAACTAATCTAGGTACTATAGTATAAAGTCTATATGCTTCCATTTCATTTCTAACAAATTCAACTAATGTTTGACTACTTGATACAATCCACTTATCCATAGTATTATCACCTTTTGTTATAGCATTTTCATCAAATAAAAACTTACCTTAAATACTTTCATATCTTTGTAAATTTTAAATCAAAAATCTATAAGCATTGTACCATGGTAAAAATACATTCTTAATAACTTCTTAAACTCCATCCTTGCTGAAATTTAATGGTTGAGCTTTAACTAATCCACTATTAATTAAGTACAATCTCATAGCATCAGCACCATATTAATTAATAATTTCAACTTCAGGATCAGGATAATTCTTTTTACTTTTTGACATCTTTTCACCTTTTTCATTTAATACAATTCCATTGACAATTAAATTCTTATAAGGAGTATCATCACGTAAAGCTGTTGCAATAACATTCAATGTATAGAACCAACCTCTTGTTTAATCTAATCCTTCAGCAATGAAATCAGCTGGGAATATATTTTCAAATAACTCTTTTCTTTCAAATGGATAATGTTATTAAGCAAAAGGCATAGATCCACTTTCAAACCAACAATCAAATACTTCTTCAATTCTTCTTAATACACCTTTTCCTTATTTGCTTGGTATTGTAATATGATCAATATATTCTCTATGAAGATCTGTTATGTTTTGAACACCAGAAAGTTATCTCAATTCTTCAATAGAACCAATACAAACACTTTCTTCAAAATCATCACTTACCCAAATTGGAATAGGATTACCCCAAAATCTATTTCTACTGAAACACCAATCTTATGCATCATCTAACCAATTATTAAATCTTCCATCTTGAATTGATTATGGTACCCATCTAGCCTTTTTATTGTTAACAACAAGTTTATCCTTAATTGCTGTAACTTTAATAAACCAACAATTAACAGCTTTATAAATTAATGGAGTTTAAGATCTCCAACAATATGGATAATTATGTTGAACTTATCCATCTTTTATTAATCTACCATTATTTTTAAGTGTTTTTCTAATTTCTTTATCTGCTTCTTTCACTTACATTCCTGAGAAATCTTTTACTGATTCCAAAAATCTTCCACTTGAATCAATAGGTACTAAAGGATCAGATGGAGTAATAATGCCAGCCTTTAAACATGCTTTGTAATCATCATCACCAAAACCAGGTGCACAATGTACAATACCAGTACCATCATCACTAGTTACAAAATTGGCAGCTAATACTCTATAACATCCTTATTCTCTTCTTTCAGGGAAATAATTAAATAATGGAACATATTCAATACCAACTAATTCAGAACCCTTGAATTTTTACACTACTTCATACAATTTAGCATCATTATACAATTCAACAATTCTTGATTCTGCTAAAATGTAATGAGTATTAGATGCTTTATCAAGTAATTTAACATAATCAAAATCTGGATGAACAGCTAAAGCTAAATTACTAGGTAATGTCCATGGAGTTGTTGTCCAAGCAACAAACTTAGTTGTCTCATCATTAACTTATGGAAAAGTAACAACAATAGCAGGATCCCAGACATTTTTATAATTCTATTAGGTTTCGAAATTGCTTAGAACAGTGGAACACCCATTAGAATATGGCATCACTTTACATCCTCTATATACTAATCCTTTCTCCCACATTTATTTGAAAACCCACCAGACACTTTCCATAAAGGATGTATCCAATGTTTTATAATCATTATCAAAATCAATCCATCTTCCTGTTCTTCCTATTATTCTTCTCCATTCAGATGCATATCTCATAACTATTGATCTGCATTCATGATTATATTTATCAATACCCATCTAACCATATAATATAAATTTTATACCTTTAAAATATCACCTCTATGTTAAATATTTAAAGTTTTATCAATTTCATGTTCAACTGGTAATCCATGACAATCCCATCCAAATCTTCTCTCTACATACCTTCCATTCATTGCAAAATATCTGCACACAACATCCTAAATTTTATTAAAAAAATTATACTTTAATTGTACCAGCACACATATGACCATAATGAGGTAATCCAGTAGCAAAAGGTGGTCCATCATAAAATGTAAAACGTGGACAATCTTTTGTCAATTCCAATTATTTATGGAAAGCATTGATCTATTCCCAATATTTTAAGATTCTGACTTCCTCTTCTGGGAAATTTGGTCTTTCGACAACTATTAATTAAATCTAAATCACTACCATTAGTGAAATCTGTCTTCTAAGCCATACACAAAAAAGTTAAGAAATTTTAGATTTTAAATTAAATCCTTTAAATCATCATAAGGATAGTATTTGTATGACCAATTTATATTAATATTCATAATTCCGCATCATATAGTCCATCATTAAAGTTTTCAATTGAATAGAATCGACATGTCATTATTCTTCCTCCAAACACTCTTTAATCTGCTGCCAAAAATGCTGCCATTGCTTCCTCATTACTATTGTCATTCCATATATATCTTACTTTGCATATTCAATGAAAACTCTCACTTGTATGTCTTCCTCTAATTCAGATCTTACATGAACATGAATTTTCTTAATGTACCCATATTTTCCTAACTCTGCCTTTATTTCATCCTTAAAATATTCATCAACGTCTTTTGCTGTTATAGCATTCAACAATACTAATATATTTGTGGGCTATCTATCAATGAATATTCCTATACTATTTATGTTATTCAAATGTTTTTCTAAACACTACATTTTATGGAAGCAAATCTGTAAAATCTAATGAACTGACTTCAATCACTCCAACACTATTTGAAGTCTTTATCACTTCTATTGGATTCTAAATACCCTAATTGTATTTCCCCAATCCTAAACCAAATTTATATCCAAATTTCTCCATCATTTTCAATGCTTTCTCTTCTCCTGATCCCAATTCTACTTCATTATAAGAAGGCTCTGTCTCTTCTTCTATTTATTATGGCTATGGTTGTTCATTTTATGTTTCAGATTGACTCATTTATCTTTTCAATTCCTCATAATCATTAGGTCTACTTGGATCATACTCTTAAGGCTTATTTACTATTGGAGTTAATTTTGTTGAATTCTTGCAAACACGAAGAATGCTACTCAACTTATTATTTAAATGAGATAAGTCCTATTATTATTATTGACTAAATATTTACTTTACTAGCTGGAAGCTACTATGGTTATTATTATTGTTATTAGACTTATTAAGCCTATGATTATTAAACTTGATTAGTTGTAACATTCTATTACGAAGGAGCTGTTTCTACTATTTATGTAGGCTCCACTTCTTGTTATATTTCAGCGAAGAAATTTTGCATAGCTGCATTAATCTAAGCATTCTCAACAGGTTAAGACCTAAATTTTGGAACTGGAGGAGGCATTTTTTTTCTTTAAGGTTCCTTACATTCCATTTCATTCATTTTATATATTTGAACAATAATATTATTTAATTAAATATAATTATGTTTATACTACTTCTGGCTGAATAAGTGAATAATCAAAGAGTTGATCACTATTATTCAGACACCTTAATAAAAATTATTCTTTTTTCAACTTAGGTTTTACATAAAATAATCAAAAATTATTATTTTTTACTTATAAATATGTATCCAAATAATCTTTAGCTTAATATACTTAATCAATAGTATTCTTTTTAAGATTTTATATTATTTTTGAATTTTAAATTGAATTAAATGTTTAAATAGAAGCATAATTAAATTATTAATATTATTTCAAAAATCAATTTGATTTCTTTTTCTTTTTATTTTTATTCCCAAGTTTTTCTCTAAGTTGTTTATCTTTTCTTTGATCAACTTCCATTTACTCTTTAATATCTTAACCTTTCAACATATCTTTCATTTTCATATATAATAAGTCCAATCTATAGAGACAATCAGATGGCAAGGGATTTGATTCCAACTCGAGAATATATGGTCTAAAGAAATGATTATATATAATTACCTATGAACTTCAATATCCCAATATGTAATATTATCAAATTATAAAAATGAAGTCCATCTACCTTTAATATTGATATTATATGTATCCAAAATTTCTTAAGGTAATATTTTTAATTTTATGCCTGAATTAGTTTTGTGAGCTTTTAAACATTTTTAAATGCATTCTGGTGTGACTTTACAAATTTTCCCAATAAATTAATCTATCTTTTAAGATGAAGAACTAAAAAATCCAGCATTTTTATCCTTTGGATTGAATGTAATTTCTACTAATAACTAATGGTCAGGTTAAAAACAATAACTTCTTTTATGACAATTGACACTTCTTTATCCTAATAAAACTCCATATAACATAAATGGCTAGGCCATATAATAAAATTTAAGATTAGTATTTTAGAAATGTATTTAAGAATGGCCTTGTTATTCACCAGCCAAACTATTAGTTCCCATGTTAACCAAAGGACAGAATGACCCAAACAATTTATAACCTCTTCCATACATTATATAATTAGAAATAGGAGGATGATGTGAAGTTTACTCTAAATATATAGGACATCCTTTAATTCTACCCTCAAATGTTTCTCCAATAATTGGGTTGAATGGCTTTTCTTATTGAACTCCCATCATAAAACTTGCCAAATGAAATGAAACTGTGAGCTTTAATTATTCAAAAATATCTGTAGTTTAAGCAGCTTTTTCAAGAAAAACAGGAGCATGTCCTTGTCCTCTTGCCATTCTCTCTAAAAATGATCTTGCCTCAAAAACTTAAATTGGTAATGAGACAGACATTAAGGATTTTCCACTTAATAAATTTGATCCCATTCTTTTGATTATATCTAATAAGACACTTCTTTAATCACTGATTAGTTTTTTATTTGTATATATAAGTCCTCCTTTTTTTGGATCAACCTCATAATATTTAGTCAGTAAGAAATGACCATCTTCTTTGGTTGTTTCAAGAAACTTTTCCAAACCAGGAAGTATATTTTAATTAAATTATCTTTAAATTGATCTTTGAATATATTATCCTGTCTAAACCAAATCTAAAATTTCTTTATATTCTTGAAGTGATTATTGTTGATGTTGTTCAGATGTAATTCTTTATACTTCAGGTACTAATTGAATAAAGGATATCTACAAATTATCAATATCGTCGTCAGCATTTTTAATTAATACATGTTCAGTTTATTATTTAATATAATTATCTGCTTAAAGTATTTGAGTATCAATATTTTCTAAATTGAGTAGAAATCTCTTCATTACTTCTTCTCCTTTTTCTCTATTTTCACACTCTAAATATATGTCTTCAATAATTTAAGCTTTAAACTTATCTTCTTGTTTTGCTTAAATAAGAACACATGATCTAGTAATCTTGAATTCATCAGTGCCTTCAACTTTATCCTTATCAATTTAATTATGATGTATCTCATTCCCAATATATTTTTTCATAATACAATATGCATTTTCATCTATTTAAAAATGCTTTTATGTATATATTAATCTAATCTTCTCATTTTAATTAGGTGTATGTGATTTAGGTTATTTTGAGAAACTCTCCTAAGAAAAGAATTCATGTTCTATTTCCTTTTAACTTTAAGGCTTATTTTATTTAAGTTGATTATTTTAAAACTTTTCCCCCATATCAAATTCTGTATAAATAATTGCACAATCCTTCTTAGTTGGAAATACTTAATAAATAGATACTTAAGGGTTCCAATTGTCTCCAAATGTGTGTATTGATAATTCCTATTATATCAAATCATGGTTACATCGAAAATCCTCGAAGGAGGCATTTCTGATTTTAAAAAGAATCTCATATGCAATTAATCATTAGGGTCTTAGTATAGTTATTTGGTTTAAGATTAAAATAAAACTTTAAATGAATTGATATCTGAAAATCCTTATAAATTCTCTAAAGTATTTTCTAATATTATCTCAATGTCATTCTTGTTGTTATAACAGTATTTACTTATAAAAATTAAGGTAATAATGGAATGATCTATCTCATTCGAGATACTTAACTTGGCTTTATTGCCATTGAAGGAACTCCTTGATTTATAACTCTTTCTGATTCAGGCATAAATTAATCCCACTCTTACAATTTTTTCTCTTTCTTTTCTTTTGTTATTTACATTGCCAAATATTTCCCATTAAAAAAATCATACCATTATAATGCTTCTGATTGGTTATTCCAACCAAATCTAGCTAATTTTGGTTCAATTTCTTATGGAGTTTTGAACTTTATTGCCCATTTCCCTTGATGAAATGCAACAGGATGGATAATATAATTTTGAATTAACAACTACTTTTATGTTTAACCCTTGACGTCAATATACCTGAGTATCTCTCTATATATCATGCCCTTACCTATTATTTTAAATCATATATTAAAAGCCTTTCTCCCCATCCCTTCAATACACCACTCTCTTTAAATGCACTACAACTCATTAAGGCATTCTTATTATTATCTAACATTCTTAAAATTAAATTTATAATATATAAAGTAAATATCAAATGATTTCTAACATATTCTTTATTAATGCTGATAAAATATTATAAAAATATTCTATGGAACAAGCTTTTTAATACAATTCTTTGCAGTTCATAGATATCAAATTCTAATAAACACAAATCTAATCCAAATTCCTTGATAACTCCTTCTCTTTCAAAATATTCGTTAATCCTATAATCAATTAATCTCTTGGTTCTTCATTCAAAACATAAAAAAATGTTGTTACATTCTTTTAATAATTAAGATCTATACTCAATTTCCAAACATTAATGAGTTAAACAATAGTATTTTAAAGATCAATTTCAATTACTATCTGCAATGATGCTAAAGGAATTTAGTTAATATTCACAAAATATAAGATCCTTGCGTAACTTAAATTATTCAGTATATTTAATATTAATTAACATGAGTGTAATTCAAATTATTGAGGATCCCTTGATATAGTTCTAAAATAATAAATTTGAATTTAAAAATTCTAATCATGCATTTCCATTTTGAAACAAGTTTAACATAGATTTAAAATATTTAATTTACTTGATTTACTCAATTCTAATTGTTAAGTGTTAATAAATTCGATTTTTAATTTTCTCAAAAAAATTCTATTAAATTGAAATTTCCAATATTCTATTTTTGCTTTAAATTCTTAATCAATAGTTCTAATTTTGCTATAACTAATATAATTGAAATATAAATATCTTCAACATCTTCCATAAGATCATCAATACAATTTGAAAGGTGAAATTAGAATACTATGATTTCAAGATAGATATCACCTTTTTAAAATTTAAATACTAAGTGAAGCATTATTTTATCTTCAAATAATTTAAACATACTCTCCATAAAAGATTAGATAATTTTAGGGAATAAAAATTATTAATCCAAGGATAGAAATAGTAATCAATTTAGAAAGAAATCAATGAACCTATGCTTTCAAAGAAAACAATTTAAACAGAGCCAAAATTAAATACAGTATCATTGAGTACTGAATGATTTCCTAATATTATAACCAAAAAAATTCTAAAAACATAATATTTATCAATATTCTTAATAAAATTAAATAGTTTACAATTCACAAAATTTCTTAAGGATTATATCAATCTTAATAAATATACTTATAAGCAAATATAAACTATTAATTTATTTAATAAATTGAAGATTTATTGAATAAATGGACAATTGATAAAACTAAAATTTATATAACAATAAATATATAATAAAAATGTAGATAGGAAATTCATAAAATTGATTATAGATTAAACATTAAGTATAGGAGTTTAGACACATAAAGGATTTATATATTATGATTTAAATTATTTCAAAAAATATAAGGATTACATTAATTAAAAATTATTCTAAGTAAATTATGAATAAAAAGTAAGAATCATTTACTAGAGTACTTAAAGAGAAGATAAAACTTATGGATATTTTTGGTTAATCCATATAATTAAGTTTTAGATAAGAAGAGCAACATACAACTTTTGTTGGGGGAGTAGCTTCAATCTTCGTATTGGCGACAATTATCAGTTTTTTCTATTCAAACATTATTGGATTTTTTACAATGAATTAAGTCAAATCCTCAACAGAAATGATTTTTGAAGATGATCCTGGAATTATTTAATTGAATTCTAATTCCTTTATGTTTGCTATTTAAATTGAACATGACAATTTTGTTGATACACCCTACTTTAATATTACTGTAGAATAGAGACATTATAAAAATCAAAATGGAACTCTTACAAAACTACCTAATGAATATATTGATTTAGTAATATGCACTTAAGATCATTTTTAATAAATATTTGAGTCTTCTAATATTGATTATGCAGAGTAATTCAAAGATTTAAATATGACTAACTTCCTTTGTCCCAATATTTAAAAAAATAATGTTTGGACAGTAGGTGGTGCATATACAAGTAAAAGTCTTAATTAAATTAGGTTCTGATTATTATTTCTTAAAATTTTCAGTTACTACTTGTGTAAATGATTCCTATAGTAATTTCTCATGGAAACCAAAATGCAAAACTTAGGATGAAATGTTTACTTAGTTAAAAGCTTAGGGTTCCTTTAGATTTCAACTATTCACTACAAATTTTGTATTTAAATATACTAATTGAAAGATTGTAAATCCAGATTCCCCATAAGAGTATATTACCCCTTACTTGGCTATTGAACAATTTTACACATTTGTACCAAATCAAATGTTTGTTTAATCTGATATTTTTGTTAGGGAAAAAAGAATTAATACAGATAAAGGAATTTTAATGTATCCTATGAATGTTGAAGAAACTATAGCCTATCGAGAACATATGGATAGTAGGTAATAATTTGAAATCGGAGGACTCAATAGTAATTATTTTGCTGCCTTCTATTTATAGAGAAGTCCTTTTAGTTATAATATATCTAGAAGTTTTGTAACTCTAGATGAATTGTTAAGTTATTTGGGAGGATTCTCATAATTTATGACTGTGATTTTAGGAATGATAATCAATGTATACAATAAATAGAGTCTTTTGTTGTAGTTGGCAAATGATTTGTATGAATTTAATTTCCAAGAACAATAAGAAAATACTAGAGCCTTTATATCAAATTTGTTATAGCAATCAAGACATGGAAGAGAAATGATTAAACAAAAAGGTCATATTAAAGAATTAAAGATCCAATCAATCAATCCTTTTACATCTAAACCTCCAATGGATTAAAAAGTTTCTCAAATTATATCACCTTAAAGAACTCAGAATTAGTTTATTTAGATTTCATCAACACGGTAACTTTAGAGCATTAAAGAGAAGACTTATGATTAATATGAAAAATTCAAATAATTAATGATAAATTAGAAAAAATTGACTTTAGGTTTTAGGATATTATTAGGCGATCTTTTGCCATTTGAGTGCTTCTAGGACCCTGAAAGTGTTCTTTTTAAAAAGGCTATGTATTTTTCATCTTTCAATATTTTAGGAGTCAAGTCAGCAAAGAATTAGATATACGTTTTATCATGAATTAATTACATGAAATCACAAAACTAAAAAAAGTTATATTCAACAGAGAATAATTCTAACTTTTTAATTTTAGCCATAAACCAACAATAAGTTTAATAAAAGAAAAGAAAAATCGATTATCATCAAAGTAATAAATAATATAATATATTTAGATTCTTTTATTTGGGTGAAGAGGAAGCAATTAATAACGAATTATAAAATTAATATAACACGTTAGTATAAGCATATTCCAAATTAACATCTTGTGATACATAATTCTCAGATGACTAGACTTAATTAAACTAAAGAATTATTGGGCTTTTGGGAAGGGATTTGCCTTTATGGATAGAAATGGAATTGCAACAAGAAAATTCAGAATCCATAAAGGAGCCTGAACCAGATGATTTAGATGAAATTTCCAAAACTTGAAATAATAATATTTCGTTAATTTGACTAAATCACTTGAATTTTTCATTAAACTTATTTTCCTTTTCCCTTTGATCATTTTTTTAGGAGTCTATAAGTAATTGTTATTAAAAGTTCAATTCTATTTCAAATGCATCAATTAAGCTCACTATTATTTTTCATTATTCCAAAATCTTCATTCTTCTTTACCATAAATTATATTCTCTAAATCTATTTAATTATTTATTCTGAAAAACGATCAAAGAATTTATTAATAATTACAAAATAGAAAAACAATTAGTTTAATATCTTAATATTTCCCCTTTAATTTAAATTGAATATATAATCATACAAAAAAAAATGAAAATATTTCAATTTTATTCTTAAAGTTCTCTTACACTAAATAAGTTTTCCTCATCTTTTAGATCATTGTTTTCTGACTCTATCTATTGTTATTATTAAGCACTTAATTCTTTTTCTATTACTTTCATTAATTCAGGACCTAATAATAGAATTAATCTTTAATTAAATCGAATTGATTCTTAAGTTTAATGATCTTATTCTTATCCAGTTAATTTTTCATAAGAATTTACTAGATCAGCAAATTGCTTCATCATTCCACAATCTTCTGCTGTTACTATTCCATCAATTATGCATCTAAATTAAATTATATTATCTTACCTTGTTGATCCTCTCTTATTATTATCTTAAATTAATGCTATTTTTGGTTTTCGACTAAAATTAAAAAGTGTTATTTATTCAGAATTAAATAAAACTTATTTTAATTTTGTTAATTCATGAAGTTTTTTGATAATATATTCAATATCTAATTCTTTATTAACTTAATCACTGAAAAAATAATAAATATTATATATACATAGCTCTTTGTAATACTAAGCAATCATCATCTTTTAAAGATTCTATAGGAATTATAGAACTTAACATTACTCTAAAACCTAATCCAATAACATGTTTCCTTTTTAAAAATTCTTTGAAATCTTCATAATATTATAATGTTTTAGCTTTCATTGCAGATAGTCTGGATTACAACACTTATGAAGTAGGTTATAATTATTCAATAGATTGTTTTTAGTCAAAAATTTTTGATTTCTTTTTTTAAAAAGGTGTAGATGTTTACAGCATTTCAGGTTTATTTTGAAATGCTGTTATAGTTTAAATTTTAGGAATAGTTTCAATTTTTTTAGACATTTTGCTTTTTAACATTTCTCTACCTCTTTCAGTTCTTGCTAATAAGCTATTTAAATGGATTTAAGTATTTTATCTAGCTGAACTCATATCAAATTCATATAAATCATTAGCTATAGATATAATCATATGTTATCGATTATAGAATCTTACTATTATACCTACAACAACAATCATGAATTAAGTGAATCCTCCTAAATAACTAAGTAATTCATCAAGTCTTAAGAATTTTCTATTTATATTATAAGAATATGGACTTCTTTAAAAATAAAATGCTCCATAATAATTTGGTGTTATTCTTGAAATTTCAAATTATTCTCTTTAATCTCCATAATCTCTAAAAGCAAAAGTTTCATTTTATTTATCAGCATACATTAATATTCCTTGATCTGTTGTTACTTTTTTTGTTCTAAAAAAAATATCAGATTAAACAAACATTTTATCAGGGACAAAAGTATAGAATTAATCAACAGCTAAATAAGGTTATACATAATCTTTTGGTCTATTTGGGTTTATTAACTATTTTTATATTTCTAAAATATTACAAAGTTTGTGGTATAAACTTAAAAACGAAAGCTTCCTTAAGATTTTAATGTTTTTTGTATTTCATCTGAAGTTTTACAATTGGGTTACCAAGTAAAATTACTTTATGAAGAATCTTTGCAATTAGTAACAGAAAACTTTAAAAAGTAATAATCTGTACTTGCCCAAACACCTCCAACTGTCATATTAAGACTATGAATAAAATTGAGATTAGGACATAAGAAATTTTATAAATTTTATTGTTCAAATTGTTCTATAAAATCGACACTGTACTTTTCAAATAATGGTTAAAAATGTTGAATAGTACATGGTACTAAATCAATATATTTATTTGGGTATCGATATTATGTTCCATTTGCATAACGATAATAATGACGCTATTCAACGGTGATATTAAAGTAAGGGTTTGTTGTAAAATTCTCTTATTCAATTTGCACTGCAAACATAAAGTGATCTTTATCTAAGACTAATACATCAGGATCATCTGCAAAAGTAAATTCTTAAGTAGAAGTAACATTTAATTTTGCAAAAAAATTAATTATGTTGGAATAAAAGAAACTGATTATTGTTCCAATTATACATATTGATAAAAATCCACCCATACTTGTTTTATATTTCTCCTCTTTTCTAAAACTTAAGCTAATTGATTAGCCAAATATATCTATTTATTTTAATCCTTCTTTGAATTTCTAAAGCATTTATTTATTATTTATTATATCAAGTTTTAAATTAATTACACTATAAAATAATACTTGCATCATATTATAATCTGTTAAAGAATATTAAATTTGAAAAACCTAACACTGATTTGATTAATTTTTATACACTTTTACTCTATATCAACAATAGATATTTGTAAATTATTATTAATATAATTTGATAATATATATTTATATTAAGATTATTAATCTAGAATCATGATAAAATTGTGTTTCTACTATAATCATCTTACTTGCATTTAACAACATTATATTCCAGAGCATTTTAATTTAAACTTAGATTATCATTAAGATTTTAATTATAATAAACAATCAATAATTAATTGAAAAGTAATTAATCTAATTTAACTTTCTTCTCAAACTATTTTTACCAGATACTCTCATAATTTTTTTCAGATTAATATCATTCTGTTTTCATTTCTTATTTTAATTGAAATGTGTCCTTGCCATTTTTTTTCTTTTGAAACATTTTATTTCATTTTAAGTTTTTACTTTAATTCGCTCTTTTACTATAATAATATAACAAAAATAACAGTTAAAAAATATTGTAATTATTAACTAATATTTTTTTTTATAAATAATTTTCCATCAGTTAATAACCTTTAAAACTTGAAATTTATCAATTTCATTTTTTCTCTTTATCCTTTTTCAATTACTTGTTATATTATGTACCCTTAATTGAATTAATATTCTAAATATTATTGAAAAATTAATAAAAACAAATTTTGTGGTCCAGAAAATAGAATTGAAATTTAAATAGGTTTAACAAACTCTATTTCTAAAAGGATTATTATATTGAAATGAAGTAATTTAATTAAAGATTACAGTATTACAAGAATTGTTTTTTATTGAATATAGTTTATTTTAGATTCTAATTTCAAAAGAAATGCAAATCATTACTCAATAAGCTAAATAATTTGTCAATTAATGAAATTCAATAAAACTTAATATTACATGCATAGTTAAAATTATAATTTCTTGTAAGATGTTAGTATTTGTACAAATGTTAATTAGATCTTTACTAAAGAAATTAAAGCTATTGGAAAAATCATCAATATCGATAAAAACAAAGAGAACTTTAATATATATGTAAGTTGAAACTCCTATATTAAAGTAATCCTTAAATATTGATTCTCAATAATTAAACAATAATAATAACAAATATATTTCCTATAAAAATTATTAGTAAACTTCATTTATTTTTAATCCTATATCTGATGCTATTTTAATTTTTCTTGTATTGGCAATTATCTGGTCAAAATTTATTTTGACTTAATCAAAGGATGATTAAAATCCCCTTTTTTCACATTTTATTATGCCGAATACTAATTAACTGCTTGATAAATATAAGGTGTTTAATAGATTAGTTTTTCTTTTCTTTCATACAATCTTACATAGTGTTATTTATTGTATTTGATTGATTTTTTGCAATCATACAATCAGTTTTAAGTTAGTCTTGTAAATCAATTACTTATAAATTAACAAAGAGTTATTGAGATCAATTTATAGTATTTTCTCTTCAAATATAATATATCTCTTTTGCTAATCGTAATTAAATACTCCTAATGAATTATTACTGCTCTAATAATTCCGAACAATCCATTATAATATCTAGAACTTAAGAAACCCATTCTCTCTAATCTAGTTTACAAATAAATAAACATAAAGTAATTTATTATCTTAACTATTAAATATTTTAGATCAGATATCAAATTAATCCTTTTTCTTAAGTATAAACTTTTAAAATTATTGATTTTTTTATTCAAAATTAGATGTCGCATTGGCTATGCATAAATTTACTAAAAATCAGAATATCATCTATAATATAGATTCATTACTTACTTAATTTTCTCATTCAGATAAATAAACTTATCAGTAAATCAATAGTGTTTTCATATTAATTTGTGATTTAATTCATAAAAAATAGTATAAAAATTATAAAAAATTATGAAAAATAACATATTGTAAATTATTCTAATTTGTATCTTTAATCTAAGAATTTTAATTTTAACCATTTTAAATAATGATGACAATTCTCATAATAAATTTTAATTTTTCACAGTATAAATAGAATAAATGTTAAATTAAATTAACCTATATACGTTTTTCTTATATGCCATTAAAAATGGCTTTGATATTTTGAATATGTTCAACCACTTGTTAGCACTTCACTATTTTCAGTATTTATTAAATAATAAAGTCTGAGAGATATAATTAAAGGTTATCAAATTTTTGATGAAATAGCTTTTTGATTCTGGAAAAATGAATAAATTTTAATCTGTTGAAGGAAAAGTACTTGATATTTTATAATTGCAAAAATAATTAAATGTATTTTCTAATCTTAATTTTTTGCTTTTATTAAAGAGAATCCTTTAATTCATTAATTTTCTTTTTATATTTTATTGAGGTAAATGTACATGTTCGTTAACATTAAAGTTAATTATTATAAGAAATTTCATTATTTCTAGTCATTTTTTCATTTTAATAAATGATTCATAAGAGGTTGATTATAAAAGATATCACTATATCTGAATTAAAATGGTTTTTATCTAGATTAGCCTGCAAACTAATATAATTTCTTTAGTTATTATATCAAGATGCATGAAAGGTGATGGTTCTGTGAAGTAACTATATTCTAGATGAATCAGTTGATATAAAATGAAAAATAATATTGAAAGAAAGTTCTTTTTATCTTTAAAGAAATTTTTTAAGAATAACTCATATATAATTCTTGTATAATGTCTTTGTCTATTAAGGTATTCATTTTTTCAGAATTTTCTTTGCTAGTTCTCTCTTAAATAATAAAAGAGCTTCCTAGGTCACACTTTAATGAACTATCCTAATTTTTTTCCTTGGAATTTCTTTCTTTAATACAGTCTCTGTTTCTAAGTTCGATCTATCTTAGTCTTTCATCAATTTTATTAATTCAAGAATAACTTTCTTATTATAAATTTGTAAATCTTTCTAGAACAATATATAGAAAATCCTGCAAATTCCTTTATTATATATTATTAACATTAATAGTTTGACAGCATACTCCATTAACTATATTTTAAGAATAGTTAGCTTAAGGAATTAATAATGATAATAACTTACACTTTGCAATTTACATATGCATATGCATTAATAATAACTTCAATTTTAATAGTAATTTTTTAAATCCTTTTTGAATTAAAACATAAAAGAAATATTACTCTTATAATTATTTATGATTCCAAATATATATATTCAGACAATGAAGAATCTAATAAATCAAATTTAATTGAATAACTATCACATATGAAAAATTTGTTTGAAAATCTTTTAAATAACAATTTTAAACTATATAATTCTTTTAGAAATGATGTGGAAAATTAATTTTAAAACACCTTATATATGTAATACTAATAAATAAAGTAAAATTACAATCCATCATTAAAGTAATATTAAATATCATAAAATATGCAAAATGAAAGTTTATTCCATATTAAAAGATGATAGATGGCTGCTGTTAAAAATTGATGTAATTAATTAATGTTTATAAGATTTAATTGTATTTGTAAACAGATATTTAATTAAATGCAAAATCAAAATTAATTTTTATAATTTAAGGAAAAAATACATCTTTCTTTTGAGAAATCCATCAATTTATTAATATTATTAAAGGTATTATATATTATATATATATAGGAGTAATAAGATTCCAATATTGTAATTGATCTTATTATTATAAATTACTTTATTTTAATTTTATAAAATTACTCTTAAATTATTTTGAAAATCATATTATAATAAGAAATAAAAAACAAATATAAAAGTTTCACTGTTAAAATATTAATAATTCTGCATTTAGTCTTAGATTATATGTTAATTATTTCAAATGTTTATTTATCAAAAAGAAAGTTTTACTGATCATAAACCTGATTTGAAGAAAAAAAAAATGTCTATAAAAACTTTTGTTTTTATTTAAAAAATTAAGAATTTTATACAAAACTAGAGAGAATGTTTATATATTATGAATTTGGTTAAAATGAATAGAATAGGAAAATCAATTTTTATTCTTCAATCTTTTAATTATTTTCTTAGCCAGGATGTGTTTGAATTTCCAAAGATTTTATAAGCCTTCAGCATCTTTATGATAAATCAAAGTTTTAAAATTGGATTGTTATTAAAATGAGTGTTGTTTAGTAATAAAAACTGTAGTTGGTAATTCAATTTAGGTTTCAAAAAGTAAATTTTAGGTTGAATTTTAGGTGTGATTTTATGTCTCATTTTCTTGTTTCATTTGTTAAGATAAATTAGCAGAAAGGATGGTTGGAAAAATATTTTTAATAAAAATAATGCTGTAATTTATATATTTCTTCATTTATTTAGTGTTTAATAGGAATTATGCATTGATACTGTTTAAAAAGTATAATAGGGTTAATAATATATATCTATTTTGAAAGATGCTTATAGTAAGAGAAATAAAAAATAGAAAAGAGATATTTCTATTATAAATAAAAGAATTAGATTCTATCTTGTCAAATAAACTGATTTAATCTGGTGTTAAAGAACTAACTTTAAATTAAAGTTAATAGTTATTTATATCCAAGTAAATAATTGTGAACAAAAAATGTTATCAAAACAAAAAAACTCAATCTTTTGTACACAATTGCATCTTTGAGGTTCAATTCTTAAAATCCTAAATTATTCTTTGAGCAAGCTATTTTTTATAACTTTTGAGTTCCTAGGCATCTGAGAATGATATTAATTATGGAGCTACTTTTCTCTTGAAAATTTTGTTTGTCAAACTATTAGTAATTTTTTATGCTTTGTTGCAATGGTCTTTCATTAATCAAAAAAAAAATAATTTTTTTATTAACTAAACCCAATTTAAAAATGACTTTAATATAAGTAGTGAAATTTGAATTTGATTAATGGTGGGTACTTCAATTTTTTGATAATATCAATTATATTATATATAATAATGAATAATAAAAAATATCTCTCATTTTCTACTAAACCAGAAGTATTTTAGGTTAGATAATGATGTCCCATGATTGATTTTAAACTGAATATTATCAGCCTAAAATTTCTTAAAGCTTTCTATTTTCTCAGAAAATTCATAAGAATTCCTATGATAAAAAAAATCATTCTTATATAAGTAATTTTTTCATGAAAAGTTAAATCATATAGTCCATGAATTCAGTTATCCCATAACATTATTATATACTATTCTGTCCATATGTAAATAATACATTGAGATATTATTTATTATACATCAATATATTATAGAACATGATTATTTGATGTAATTATTTAGTAAGAGATTACAAATAAATTTTATAAAAAAAAAGGAGTAGGTATTAATAAATACCTCTTTTATATTTAAATATGAAAATTAATGTCTAAATCTGACAATATGTAATAAGTTAATCTTGTTGTTACACGTATTAAAGACAAATAAATATTAATTATATTTATTTTTTATTCAGCATTATAAATATTCGTATTTTCATAATAAGAGTTTGAATATATATATTGTTATCCTATCAAATCAAATATATTTATATATTTAATGGATTGTATCATTTTTATTTTTTTCCATAAATGTAAAATATATTTACTTTATTATTTAATAAAAAATTTAAAACATGGTATTTATGAGTGTTTTTTTTATTTTTAATAATAATCAAAGAATACAACTTAATAATAGTAATGATTAAGTTAAATTTTCATTTATTTTATGTCTCATCCAATTTCAATAACCCTTAATATAGTCTCAAGTAATATTTGTGTAAATAGTTATATTATTTTTGTATTAATTAAATTGAAGTTAAGTGGCAGTATATATAGCTAATAGAAATGAGATATATTTAAAATATATTATTTTGTATTTATCAAAAGATTTTTGGTTCTTATGCTTTATCTAATTTAAAGTGTTTTGAAACTTCATTGAATTTGAAGAACTGCGTTGATAATTATTTTATATGTTTCAATACTCAATTCAGTAATAAAAATATATTATGTAATAATTCACATTGTATTTAAGTTTTCAATAAATAGTAAAGGGTTTTGAGTAACATCACCTTGATTGAAAAAATTTAGGAATCTAGTGGATGATGTAAAATCTAACTACTCTTTATATTTTTATGCAAATTAATATTGTTTTAGATAATTACTATTAGTAATTTAGAAATAAAAAAGCCGCTTTATTTTAAAATTAATATATAATATAAATCATAATCTAATTAGTATATATATTAATGGTGAATATTAAATATCATTTGAAATTAAACTTTTTTATAATATGCTTTTGATGACAAAAATCTAGCTCATTATTATAATATTTTGGTTTATATTCATCCTTTTAAACTGTGCAAAATTTTCTAAATAAATCACTACTTTTTAACATAATCCTTATTCATTAGTAATTTAATTATAAACAAAAGTTAAGTAATTTAAGTAAGAACTTTAATCCATCTACCTCATTGAATTAAAAAGGATAAATTTGTAAATCTGTTTAGTTTAGGAATGTTAAAAGTGTTATTGATTCTTTCAAATATATTCTTTTTTATTTATATCTGAATTAAGTAATCCTTAAAATAAATCTAAAGAATTTAATTAGAATATTTAATGTATAAGAATAGTGAATTCTAAAATTATCTCTAATTAATATATAGAAATTTCTTTAGTTTACTCTAATACTAAATAGTATAATTTTGTAGTATTATAGATGATTTAGAAATGAAAATAAAATATTAATTATAAAGATAATATTTATTTAATCATAATTCAATAATCAGAATCATCAAATTCTTAATCATAAAATTCTTAAATAAATTAAGAAACCATTAAATAAATTTATTCATTTGGTGAATATTATAATTTATCTAGTTTTTTGGATACATTTTTCATTGAAAATTTATAATAAATATCTTATTAGTATTCTGAAGAAACAAAATGTTTCATAGTTAAGTAGAGAGCTAAGAATTATAATTTTTATATTACTTTCAATAGCAGCTTAAATAATTTCGTAATCTTAATCATCAAGTCCTAGAATTAAATAATCTAATATTCCATTATCTATAAGATTTAATAATTATTGTTTTGTACAAACAACAAGAAAATTACGAAATGCTTGAAACAATTCTCTTCTTACATCAACAACATCATTCTCTAATAAATCTAAAACTAAATCAAATAATCTTTAATTTGAAATTATTTTATCTAAAATTAAATGGGATGAAGCCATTAAATTATTAAAAATCATACTTCCAAATATTCTACTATATGTAAAAATAGTATTTTTTAATAATTTATATACAATATCAGTAATACCTAAATCTAACAATTTTGTGCATTCATTCAAATCAGATGTATAAGATAAATTTACTAAAATAGTCATTGAAATTTTTGAGATATTTTTTTCTTTGAAATAAACAAAGTCTATAATTGTATTTATAGATTTCATAGATAATATGAATTGAATATTTTATATATTTCTACTTGCATTTTCAAATATATTTAATCCTTTTTCTCTTACTATATATATATAATATAAATAATAAATACAATTAGAATAAGAAGTTTCAATTAATTTTGAAGCCAATCTCAAAATAGTTATTACTTAATCATCATTGTCAACATTTTTAGTTATATTTCCTAATAATTTTAATGCTTATTCATTATAAGGATCGATTTAAAGTGATGTCAAAATACTTTAAACTTAATCATATTATTTAATCTATGGATGTTATAATGTTGCTAATTGATTCATTCCTTTCATTCCCTAATCTTCTAATTAAATGATAATACAGTTTATGATAATACAAATTAATTTGATTCTATCCAAGATTTATATATTTCAAATGCTTGATTGATGTGTTCTTACATTTAAATTGTAGGTTTTTATACTTTTAGTAAATTTCTAAAACAATTAGCTGCTTTAATTGCAATATTTATATGTTAAGAATTTAAATATCCTTATTGCATTGAATCTACTAAAGACTTAATAATGTTTAGATATTCTGTCCATTCAAATCTTAATGCAGTATCATTGATTGCTATTTGATCTATTTCATCTAATATTCCATTTATTGTTTAATATTCATCATCCTATAATTCTTGAGATCTCATCATTTTATTGACTATTTCTTTTAATTTTCCAATTGGTTTTGATTACATAGGAGTTATAACTAAGCGTTTCACTTTAAATAAAGATTCAAGGTTTTTCTTTCTAATTGATTAATGAAAATTCTCTCTCATTTCTTTTAATCTGTTTGAACTCATTTTGGAGGAAAAAATATATTATAGAGTTCCTAATTTGCAATAAAAAATAAATTAATTGAATTAAACTCAAATATTTGATTTTTTCTTATTAATTTAATTCTAAATTTCATATTATGAAGAAATAAAGATCAAGAAAGAGTTTTTCTTTAAATGATTCTATAGATGAAGATAGAAGAAAAGAAGAAATAATTCAAAAACTATTGGAAAGCAGTACAAATTTATAACCTAAGAAATTGGCAACAATCAAATTTGATTTAGAAGAAAATGAGATGCCAGTAGCATAATAAATATAAACAGAAAATACATAATCAAAGAATTAAATATTTATTGAATATTTGACTCCATCTGTTGTCAAAAATAATTTAGATATGGTAAAAGAAAATCTTCATATTGTTATTGAAGAAAAAATGGAAGATTCAAAATGTCTTAATTGGTCTTAATTAATTATAGAATTCATAAAGGTAATTGCATTTTTCAATGTCCTTCTTTAATAGACATGTTCAGGGTACTTAAGTATGTGGTTTTATTTGATGTTTGTACATGATGTAAATTGAATTTCTTTAATGAGATCATAGAAATAGGAATTACTATTAAGATTGTTAACGTAGTATCAGCTAAATATGAAAGTAGACTTTCAAAGAAAAGACCTACTGTAATAAAAAGAGAGTCAAAATATCCAATGGCTGGAAGACATTCGTATTATGGATAATTATTAAAAGAAATAGAAAAATGGGAAAATACAGTATCAATATAAAATGATCCATAACCTACTAGGGTTATTTAATATGTTAAATTGCATTAATACAATGAATTGTATAATATTGTACAATTAATTAGTTTCTATTTATTGTTAATTTTATGGGGTTTATTATTATTGGGAACTTAATGTTAATCTGATATTATAATAACTACTTTTCATGGATTCATTTTATTAGGAATAATAACATTGTCATTAAAACTTATATATTATTTATCATTTAAATTTTGTATAAGTGCAGTTGTAATGAATTACTTAATGTTTGCAGATAAAAATTAATAAAATAATGTAATAATCATTTTTTAATAATAATTAAGGAAATTATAGCAAATATACCTAAGCAAATGAAAAAGAATTATGACTTTGAAATTTGTTATCTTTGTTCTTAATAAATAAAACAAATGACTTCTTTTGTTGATTTACCATGTAATAAAATGTAATATAATTATAATATTAAATTAGGCATCGTTTTCATGAAAAATGTATTTTAAAATGGTTATAAACACATCTTTTTTGTCCAGTTTGTGTTGAACCAATTGATTTGATGAATGTATAAATGAGAGTACTAGCTTGATTTATCACTTATTCAAAAATGATGTTTACTAATAATATATTATTAATAAATAATTTGTTGTTATTTTATTTATTTATTAATTCAAGAAATAGGTCCCATTAATTGATACATAGCTGTTTCTAATTAAGTCATTAAATTATGCATTGTCTAATCAGCAAAATTATCTAGATAATAATAAATTGATACCTGGATTCTACATTAGTTTCATCATATCTTCTTCTTCTATTTAAAATTTTTCATAACAATAATCAGCTATTATTGTATTAACTGCTAAAGGAATTAATTATTGAGTCTCTTAACTAGCCTAAATAAATATATAAATAAGATATTTACAGATAAAGTTTGTATCATTTATGCTAAATCTTTTGGATTACTAGATATAATTTCTATTTGATAGCTAATTATTTATTTTAATTAATCTAAAGTTAATGTTTTTGTGCTTGGTATGGCCTCTTTAATGTGTTATCTTAATGATGCTTATATCATAAAGAATTATTGAAATTATCCATTCTCCATTAATTACATCACACTTTCCTAAAAAATATCCTCAGTAATTTAAAGAGATTAACAAAATTCACTTTATTTTCTTTCTATTAAATTTTCTACTTATTCATTGTAATCAAGTACTAATTATTGATACAATTAACTATTGAATTTTGATTTTGCTTCTCTTCTCTCTAAATATATGATATATATAAGAATATTACATTTTCTATTTTCAAGTGTAATTATTGCATATTCAGGTTTTGCTAAATCCATAGATTTTTGAAGTATTTAGTTGATTGAATTCATTGTTAAATAGTCTCCTTGAAATTCAACATTAACTTATCCTTTAGCCTATTGTAATACTTAATCATAGCCTTAAGTAACATCTCTCTCTTAATTTGTACTTTGAACTTAATTATCTGTCTCAATCTATTATTATTGACTCTTAGATTTCTTATCGATTCTTATATTTAAAAATATCTTACTTGCCATCAAAATATAATCCACCAATTAAAAAACCTGTTCCAACACAAAATAAAATCACACCATATTTCTATTTTTTAGATAATGTAGAACCCATAATTAAATAATTTAATACTTATTATACTTAAATAATTTTTTTGATTAAAAGTAATCTCTTGTCATTTTAAAAAACTAAAATTGATAATAGATAATTTATATATTTCTTATTAAAGGAGATATCTCTTCATTTATATATATAAATTTATGTTAAGTACTTTCAAAATAATAATGTAATGAACATTTATTTAATTTATATTAATGATTATTGCTTAGCTTGTTTTACTCAAAATATAAAGGTTCAATCAAATTTATCATATATCCCCTTAATAATGCATGAATATCATTTTTTAAAATTGGGAGGTACACTTAATTTAACCTTCAGAAACACAAGTTACCATCTTATCGGTAGAAGAAGCATTGTCTATTTTATATCAAAATAATTAAGTTCTTTTGATGACATAAGATGAAATTTTACATTTGGTATCTATTGGTTTGACAGATCATAATCACATTGATTGTTCAAAAGTTTAAGAATGGTTTAATAAAAATTATGATAAATATCTACTTTCATATTATTCAGAATAAATAAATGCTGCAATAAATCAATAAATGTTAAATGGAGAAATATAAATACAAGAGATAAAAATTGAAGATGATAAACCAAGAGTGGATAAATTTGATAATGAATATTATAATAAAGAAGGATTAGAATTTGCAAAATCCCTTAAATGAATAATATTAATAATTATTATATATTAATGCACACATACTATGCATATGAGAGTAAATTTTAAAAATTTTATCTTATACGAATAATATAATTATTCGAAGATAAAACTCTAAAGTAGGCATTCAAAGAAATCAAACTATATTCAAATAACTAAACACCAAGAAAAAAAATGTAAATTTAAGAACAAAGTTAATAAATATATGATGGATAAATGTATATTTCAACAAAAGAATATACAGAAATTCTTTAATCATTACCAAAATTATAGACATAAGTTAATTTATCTGAACATTTAAAAAAATAAAAAGGATTTAATCAAAAGGGTTCTTTTACTTCAGTGAAAGAAACAGTATCTCTAATAAAATAAAAATAAGAAAAAGAATTAGAAGATCTTCATGCTTAGAAAGTGATTAATAACTTTTTAAAAATAAGATCAATGAATAGTATAGGGTAAAATTAAATTAACAATCAATCTTTGGAAACATAATAAAATAATAAACATCAAGTTAACTTAAAATTAATATTGGTTTTAATGATCATTTTGTTCATTTATCTTTTAGATGATTGTTATTTCAAATGATTATTAGGATTAAATTTTATTTTTATATCAAAATTAAAATTAGAATAAAATAATCAATACATTAAATCTTTCAGACTAAGTTATACTTACATTGTTTATTTAGATACTGATTTTGGATTTTCCTTATCTGTAAAATCTAATATAATATAACTTGGGGCAGGATTTTAACAAATAAATTTCTTTTTATTTGATGAAACATTAGTTTCTAATATGATATATTTTAGATTTTATGAATCTTAATGGTTTTGCTTCTTCTATGGAGTTTTAGACTTTGATTTACTATGTACTTTCTAATGTACAGGTGTTAATTCTTTCTAAGGTTTAGCATAATTAATTTAACGACTTTTTTAAGGAGAAATTTATTCTTAATTTAAATACAAAAAGTTAAGTCTCTGTTTTGGTTCATCTTGAATCTAATAAAATTATGATGATTCCTATTTGAATAATTATTAAGGCTAATTATCAATAAAATATGTTTCAGAAACTTTGTTACTGTTCTTTTTATATGAATATTCTATATTTTATTATTGATCTTGTTACTATTATTTAGGTTAAAAACTAAGCTTTTCCTATTTGAATGAACAATCTAATGGAGGAAATTCATGATCAAATTATGAATGGTATTATTATTTATCAGGGGAATTAATCTCAAAATTAGGAAGATCATTAATGTCAATTTAATTTGAAGAATTATTCTCTATTGAATTTTTTTGATACCATGTCTCTCTTACAGGTTAAGAGAATAATTTGAAATGATTTTAAATTGATTATTCTGAATTTGTTAATGAAGGCAATTTATAATTATCATGATTATTCATTTTTTTTAATACTCTTAAATTATTCACAGTTTAAAGTTGAAAAAATGAGTGGATCAAGATGCAAATAGTTTTACAACGGATTTTGATTAGCATTTACTTTGACCTCCTTAAGTGAAGTAACAGCCTATAGTAAATATATAAATATGTTACTTTAGCTAATTCCCCTAAATTAGTAATTTCATTAGAATATAAATCTAATTTTAATTCTTCCAATTATCTTTATTTACTTAATAATTTAACAATTCCAAACTCTAGACCTACATCATTGATACTACATCTTCCACAACCTAAATGTAAAATTTTCAACTATTAAGAGAATAGATTTCTACACAATTAAATTAAACCTTTAAATAATTCTTACTAACAAAATACCTGTACTCCAAATACTATTTCGATATTAACTAAATCCATTAAAATTTAATGACAAACGTTGTAACCTCAAATTATCAATAGTTTAACCTATAAATTTTTAATATTTAATATATACCAATATAATAAATACAATTTTCATCTAAACAATTTAATGATAAATC